ATGTCCATCTAACCAGCCTTTGTGCTTCAGTCCTTTGAGCCAAGTTGGTGGAAGAGCACTGCTACCAAGTTTACAGCCCAACAGAGCTCCGGCTACCGCGCCATTAGTGTCAGCATCCCCACCCTGCAAGATGAGAAACACAACCAGACTAAAACAAACTGCAGTAGCATGGAAAACTGGTACGCAAGTAGCCTGAGAAAGTAGCCGACCTTTCGCGACGTCAGCACGGGTTTCCTTGCGAAATGACGTCTGAGAAATGAGCACAGAAGTTCCATACCGATGATGCGTCACTACCAAGATCTGGGTCGTGCCTCTGATTGGTCCTGCAGAGAGGGAAATTTGTCTCAACCAATCAGAAGCACTACCGAGATCAGGGTTAGTGCTCATTTCACAGACGTCACTTCGCGGGGAAACCAGTGGTAGCGTAGCCTCCCACGCAAGCTTTTTACTTGTTTTTAGGGGAGCTTGTATCTTCCCTCCCCACAAAGGAAATAGGAGCTCCACTAAAAATGTCTTCGTGAGAGGTAAGTCTTGGCGTCACGAAATGTCGCCAGTTTTCTCCAGCTTGTACACGAGCTGTCCTTGGCTAAAATGTGTTGAGGTTCTCCAAGAATCCATAAAATGGGTAATTCAAAAGTAAAACGTTTGAAGCAACCTGAGATGATAACTGCTATTGGACTGAAAACATGGGCTTAACCTGTGTGGGTGGATGTACACAGGCTAACATGGGCTTAGCTACACCTTTTTGAAGAGCAAACGAAGAGGCTGGTTCATTATTTTGCCTCGAGGGTGGCCGACCATCGGCTGTTGATTGCAGTAAAAGATTGTCCACAAAAACGAAGACATAATTATACTTGCCTTTAGAATTGGCACAAACAGTGGCGAGAGTATTTATCTTACTGTTTTTTATGAATGTAAAACTTGCAACGGGGGATAGTAAAACTCTATCCTTTTTACTTAATATCTGTCTCTTCAATCTTCAACATCATTTCATGTCCGCATATGCGTACCAGCACACGGGTTGCTAAGCCTCTGGAAAATATTTAGCTGAATAACATGCTTTCCAGATAAATTTTGTCAAATCCATTCTCTAAACAAAACCTCTCAAATGATGTGCCCGGAAGTAGATTTGAACTTGAAGTTACCTCATATGCTATGGCCTCCAATGCAGCTCGGAAGTCGTTCTGCCTCAAAGCCCAAAATCCTGCCCCCATACATTTGTATGTGTAGCCTATTTTATCACTCTCATCGAGCTGGAGGTCACCCAATGACGTGCAAAACATGTACTTCTTGAGCTCTTCAGCCTAAATAGAGATTCAAAGGTCAGCTAATACCAACATGCTCCACTTCATTTTAGATCTACTGCATTTTTAAATATTTTTGTTTTAGTTGCCAGAATATTTGGTTTAGAAGACGATGCTGTTTTCTGGTCTTCACTGTTATAACTGCCAGCTATTTTGAAATGAAATTCAAATTCTTATTCTTCTTAAAATTTTATTGACACGAGTTTTTTCTTAACAATACACAAATTATATGACATTAACCCTTTAAGCCCTAACAGTGATCAGCCTCTAATTTCTCCTTGTAATATCAATGCTTTGTAAAATGGAGTGGTCATGAGAATTACAGACATGATCACACAAGATTAATTTGCTTAGTTGATATTTTATCAACTTCTCCCCACTACTTCTGTAGGAAATGAATAGGTGCAACAAATGAGAATTCATATTTTGATCTTAGGGTTTAAAGGGTAAAAATTCAAAATGGTACTACTTCCACATAAAATTCATAGAATTACCTCTGCTGTAGTTTCAAGTGTCTTACAGGCGTACTTGTATGCATCTTTAATCACTGCCTCGACATCATACTCTCCAGTTTGCTTCATATGCTTCCCTTGTAACATCATTGCAATGGCTGTTGTCACAGCGACACACGATGCAATGCATCTTGGGTCTACGTGCGTGACCTTACAAGCGACCATTGTGTTACTTATCACAGCATCAATGTTACCAAAGTCATGTATTCCAAGCACTTAAGTGCGCATGACACCTCCATTAGGAGCAAGATAGCGGCCTGAATATTCCCAGACGTCTGTTGCTGCCTGGAGAAAGTGAAAAACAGTCATCGCTGTGTAAAGGACACATTTGCAGGATGTGAAGAACTGAATACCCACAGTGACTCCTCAGGATGTAATCATCTCCTAATATTTTCAGGAGCTAGCCTGCATAGCAAGTACGTTTCCAATTGAGTTATTGAACTTTCTTGGCAAACTCGTGTGAGAATGCTTGCTACGCAGGCTATCAGGAGCCCATTAATATAATCAGCTCCTGAAGATGTAATATCCCTCCATAAAACGACCACTTAGAGTTGGTGCCTACTGTCTTTTGGCAGAAAAATGAACTAAAATGCAAAACACACACACAAAGAAATTCTTTATTATACTTAAGTCATTTTACATTTTATTTTGCCACTTGAACGTCTTTCCTTGATGTGTATATTTTCACCCTCCAACCCCAAACCCAAAGCAATTGTTCTTAAAACAGAACAATGCAATGGACAAAGGGAACCTAGTGATGCTGATTTTCTATTCAGAAAACTCATACCCATCATAACCTTGCTTGTTTGCATGTATTCCTTTCATTAGCTGTTTCTAAATAAAGACAATCACCAACTAAGGAGTCGCCTAGAAAGTCAATGAATTTATCATGCAGGGGGTAATACCTTATGAGGGTCCTCTAGAAATTGAGGATGGTGCAACACTTTGCGAGTCGTGCTTCCCATACCCATTCCTGTCTTGTCACCAAGTTCCTTGAAACCATTCCTGCTCCATGTCTTCAGCTTCAAAGCATAGTCAACAGGCTCCATCTATTAATTAGGTGATAAAACAGGAAATAATGCTTTTAAGATACTGGGTCTGGTTTAAGAAAATGACCCATTGGTTGCGGGACACAACTTCAAGAACAAATGGGGGTGGAGTAACTTCCCATTTGCGACAAGAGCAGGCTGCAGACTTGCAGACTGGCAGGTAAAGGAGCTGGTAAACATTGTTGTGAAATGCTCTAACAAATTCTCTATCCCTAAACATTAAGTCTTCTAAAAGTCTAGTTTGAGGATAGGAAATCTGTTAGAGCATTTCATGACAATGTTTAAGCGATTTACCTGCCAGTCTGCAAGTCTACAGTCTGTGTTTGTGGCACACCGAATAATTTCAGCCACTTTGGTCCATATTTGAACACTGACAATAAGATTATATCATCAATCCAGTCATAGGAGCCATTTTTGATGCTGTTTAATTGATGTTAGACTTCACATACACAGTAATATGCTGGGCTATGTTTATTGAGGGAGGACTCCATCAATTGATACATCTAGGCCATCTAGATATCCATATTGCCCTATCAAATCCCAACATCAGTGTCAGAATCCTTTGCCCAGGGTCATTGTGTTAACATATTGTTGATCTATCCTTACTTTGATCTTGATATTGATCAAGATGAAATACACACAGCTTTTTAATCAAGCGAGAAACTGAATCAATTGAATGATTTTGCTCCCGTTTTGCTAATTCCTAGTATTTTGGAGTAATTCTATGGGGGGGGGGGGTTATTTAAAAAGGGGGTTTTATTAAGAAGGGGGCATTTATTAAAAATTTAAACATTTCCCCTTTGGGAAAGAGAAATTTTTTGGGGGGGGGGAATTATTTGGTTATTTTTGGGTAATTTGGATAAGGTTCTTTTCTCCTTTCTTTTTTTTTTTTTATGGTAACGAAAAATTGATGTATTTTCATTGAATTCTCTTGTCATGTCCCG